AGTCACGATTTCTACCTTGCCCGACTCAGCGGCGGCCTGAAGCGCCGTTCCCTGAGGGAAGTTCTCATTCTCGGTGAGCGAATTGACGTCAGCTCCGCGATCGAGGAGCTCCTTGACTACGTCATAGTGCCCTTCTGCCGCGGCGGCTTGCAAGGCCCATCCGTCGGGGGAATCGATGTCGGCACCCTTGTCAAGGAGTAGTTTGACAATATCGAGGGTGCCGTCGTAAGCAGCGGCAGTTAGAGCTGTTCCATACCTGGCCGGTGTTAGCAGTGTCTATTATCCCTTGATGAAGTCCACTCACTCATCGCCGGTGGCATTTGGGTCGACATTAAAGGTCTCCAACAGAAGCCTGACGGTTGATTCCTTCTCAAGGTCTGTGGCCTCGTACAAGCTGTCATTAAGGGTTTCTTTGGAGATGTCCCCGTTAGTGTACTTCCATGCAGCCTCAAGCACCTTGTCCTGATGCTCAGCTGTAGTCGCAGCTTGGCGGAAGAGTTCGTTGCAGTCGAGACCCTGTCGCTTCTCAAGCAGGATCATGACAATCTCCCAGTTCTCCTCCTCAGCCGCTGCCTCCAAAGCCTCTTGGAAGCACTCCTGAGAATGGTCATATGTCAAAAGCTTGTTGAACACATCGACCCTGCCTGAAACGGCAGCCTTGACGAATGCCTTGTCAAATTCCTTGGGAGGTAGCTTATCAGCGTAGGTTTGAGTGAGGTACTCGAACATAGACAGATCCGCATGCAGACCAGCCAAAGCCAGGGGAGAATCGACGGTGTCGTCCTCAACAGCCAAGGAGACGTTCTTTTCGACGAGAAGCCTAACGGCATCGGGGTTTCCTGAAGAGATGGCAGCGTTCATCACCGGACCGACGTCTTCTGCGATAGCATTCGCATTTGCTCCTTTTTGGATCAGCTTGTTCATGATCTTAACGTGACCGGCGTTGGCAGCCATATGCAACGGCGTCTCCTGCCCGATGTCGATACCATCATCGATGTTGGCACCACGCTTGAGGAGCTCATCAACCGTGTTGGGCCGTCCAATGTAAGCCGCGAAATGAAGCTAACAAACATTAGTGGACACTCCAAGCTTATGAGCAGCAAGAAATACTTACTGGGGTGTTTGTGAGTTCATCCCGCTTGTTGATCTCATCTTCGTGTCCATTCTGAATCAGGGCCGAGACGAGCTGCCTGTAGCCAACAGCAGCGGCGATGTGGAGTGCGGTAAGATGCTTGGCCTGAAAGCTTACCAGAGCCTTGGTCGTGTGCATGTACACGAGCAACCAACGGTACCGAATGAGCGACTCCTTCTCCCAGAAATCGTCTTCGCTGAGATCCTCGGCGATCTCGATGGTAGACTTGCTAGCATGGTGTAGCCAATGCTTGACGGGGTAAGCCAAATACTTGCCATCAAGACTTTGCGCCTCCTCGACCTCATCGTCTTCCATTTGGTGGTAGTTATGCATAGAATCCTCGTCCCAATCGCTTTCATCTTCTGACTCTTCTTCCTCTGAGTCACTCCCGTTACCGTCATCCTCGTCGGCATCGGACTCTTCGCCATTTTCGCTGCTTGCCGCTTGTGAGCCTTCATCCTCTTCCGTGTCGGTTTCCTCTGCAGGCTTCTCGACGGGTGGGAAATCGAAGGCTTGCTTGATATGAGCCAAGCACCGCAGGGCAATGATGCCATGTTGCCACTTCCTCTCGTCTCCGGACATGCCCAGAGTCTTCTTTGAAGTCTCCTTCTCCAGGAGGTGCTCCCTGACGACAGTGTCCATGAAACCAATGGTATTTTCTGACCTTCCACTGCGTGTCACTACTAGTAGTGGCCTGCACTTCTTGACCAAACCTTGCAACTCAGCTTTTCCTTCTTCAGTCGCAGGAAATCCAGCTAGCACAGCAAGCTCGTCTTCTGTCGGTTCCTCAAAAGTGAGCACGAGTGTCCGCAATAATTCCTTGATCTTGTCTGCATCCTTCTCATTCGCACGGAAAATCTGCAACCAAGCAGCATCGAGCAAGGCCTTCAGCTCCTGGGGCATTCCCTCTAGTATGTGTCGAATCCTCAGGTCGCTCTCAGCCTCGGACAGTTCCGCAAGTTGCATGCAAGAAAGCTTGATCCACTGACTGTTGGACGCACGCTTGCCGATGAGACTGCTGGCAAAGTAGGTGAGTGCCTTGTTGTACTTCTTTGCGCTGCCGAGCTCCTGGACTTTCTCCTGAGCGGTTTTGCGTAGCTCGAGTTGTACCTGGTCCGAGTATTTGTCTTCCTCGAGATCGATGAGCCGAATCCCCTCAACCTTCAATGCATCCTCGACATTTTGAACTTCCCTACTTGTGAGAAACCACCTGGTTGAGACTCTCTTATCGTCCTCGTGTTTGAGCTCATCCATCTCCGCGTGTAGAAATCTCATGAGCTTGATGGTCGACTCAGCATCTTCCGGCAGCACATGCAAGTTGTTCATGACGAAGTACACCCTTCGTCCAATGAACTCGTCCATCAACATATCCTGGAGCGTCTGCCAAAGATTCTCCACTGTTAAGTTCGCCTGGGTCTTTGAGGAATCTTCGCCCTTCTTCTTCACGAAATGCTTCGCATACACGGATAAAGATGGTTGCTGGTTGATTAGTTGGCGGACCAGTGACTTCAGCAAGTCCTCCGCGGTTGAAAAGTCTGATGATGGATCGCAGAAGAAATATGCGAGGAGTACCGGTCCTCGCCCATGGCTCTGCTTTTCGTCGGCTTGAATCATGTTGTCGATGTCCCGAAGTGTCGCCATGGTCGCTCGCGTCTTACCCCTTCCTTCAGGTCCTCGGATGAACAGGGCCTGCCCACGAGACCTAGACGCAGTGGATTCGGCCTCACTAGTGTCTTTCAGCCAGTCGAGATACTCTGTCTCCCTTGGGATCCAAGTCGATGGTGGGAATTGGGGCGCAAGGATCCTCCTCTTCTTAGCAACCTGTCCACCGTTCAGGAGCTCCATGACACCATTGACAGTCTCTTGATCAATTCCACGTGTCGAGTTGAGGCGATTCTTCACAACAAGACTGGCGCCATGGATGAGTCGTTTGAGAGGTTCCCTAACAAGTTGGTATCGAGAGTCCTTGAAGTCGCTGAACTTGACGAGGTCTCGGTGATTCGCCGCCAAAGCCATGTCTTCGATACCTGGAAGTGTTGCAGACTCTCTTGAGACGAAGTCCTGGACCTTCTTTGGTACGACTGTCTTGGCAATCTTCGACATAGCAGCGCCGTACTTCTCCTGGGTATAGTCGGTTGGGTGATTTTCGTAGAAGCAGAAAAGCTGAATCTCAGGGCTGATCTTACGAGCTAGACGCAAGAAGTCGTTCTTCAGCTCATTCAAGCTCTCGTCTCCAGGCGTCATCATCTTGACCAGAGCGGAAGACTTGGTGTATCCCAAGTGTTCGCCAAAATCACCGAGCAAGGCGGCTACGGCAGCAACTTGAGCACCGCCAAAGGGCGTTCCGAAGAAGGCACATCCTGCGATGCACTCAAACATCCTGGGAAACACGTCCCTATATGTGTCTGCAGCGAGAGTAATTGCCTACGTAATTTATCAAACTTACGGATCTTGTGCTAGACGCGGTTTACATACCTTGGCAATGACCAAACCTCCCATGCTGTGCCCAATGAACACTATTGGGCGGTCTCTGATTCCCTGTCTTCTAATGAGCAAAATCACTATCAGAGACTCCGAGTGAGCTTACCTCTCGGTTGGCCTGAAGGCCTTCCAACATGGATTTCGCAATGTCTCTCATAAAAGACTTAACCTTGAGATCCCCAACCCATGCCGATTCATACTGATAGAGCAAGATGCGAGCTTTTGGAAAGTCCCTGGCGAGACCATCCTTCTTGTTGCTCGAATCCGAAGACGGCTTTGAAGTGCCATCGTAGACACCAGTCGCCCAGTTAAATCCTGTCTCCGACTTCCAACTGTCCTCCGGATGAGCGCCCAAGCCTGGCACAAAGACAATGCTGTTCAACAGTTAGAAGCAAACCCTCAAAATCTCTTCTGCCGATGAGATGTGGCATACTCAACGTCGATTGCTGATCCAGAACCATTTTCTTTCTGAGGATTATACAGCTCCTTGAAGCCCTGCTGAACCGTCTGATACGTTGTCCTGGGCTTCGGACCACCCGGACCCCCGTGAGGTGCCCTTCTCGTTCCTGCTCGCCGCAGAGACATGATGATGCCGCCGTAGTTGAGACAAGTTTACCAACACGAAAACAAAGAAATTGTTCCCGAAGACGGGAGAAAGAAAGGTTTGAGCAAGATCATAATAGAGATCATGAGATTTCCCAGGCAGCGGCGTAGCAGAGGCAGGCAGGCAGTGCCTGTAAGGCTGTCAGTCCGGGGTCTAGATGCCCCCGGTAGACCAGTTGGGTCCCCCTGCAGCCAGGCGGCCCGAAACGACCTTAGCGGCGTCAGCCACCCATGCATTGTCATCCTACGATGCCAGCGCCTGTCCGACAGCGCCAATAGTCTATTCAGCTCGATTGCAGCTGCCTCTAATTTTGTAGCGCCGTTCCACTGGTGAGAATTTAGCGTTGCTGAGTTCGTCTCTTTTCGGGATCCAGGCGAGTCTGTCGATGTCCGGCTGCGCAGAGAACCCCCTTGCCTGCATGCTGCGGTTCTTCATCTTAAGTGACATGGGAGCCTCCGTTTTGGACCCCAAGAAATTTAGATGCCTATTGCTCCTTTGCAGCCTGCTGAGACCAACAAAGACCATGCGGTCCAATGGGTGCGTTTGGCCTTACTAACATAACTCGCTTGAGTTTGTAGGCGCCAGCAATTCGACGAGACCTTCGGTGATCCAGAAAAGAACTTCTGTCAAGATCGCTGGTCCGGCCAACACCCTGCGCAGCGAGGACCGTGATATCCTTTGACAAGACAGCCGACTCAGGTGCCAGGACCGACAGCTTGGATCACACTTCATGCTTGGAAAACTCCGGCTTACAAACTCAACCCGCATCTCTCGAGTCGCACCATGGATCGGCCGGCGTCTGTGCCTTTCACCGTCCGCGTCCTCGATGACGGCTTCAATCATGCAACCACTCCCGCAAGGACCTCGCCGCCCGGAGCTTTTGGCGACCTCCTCCCGGCTACCAGCCGAGCACAACACGACCACATAACCGTGCCGCGAGCCGACGACCCAGAGTTCCTGGGCCGAGAGCTCTTCGTCCGACGTCTGAACGATGTCCAGGACCTCCTCTGGATTTGCGGGCGTCCGATGCCCCCGAGGCCCCTCCACTATCAGTTGCTCACCTCGCGGGAGATTCATGTCACAGAGAACCCCGAGCTTCACCTAGTATGGGCCAAGAACCGCATCTTCGTCAAGCCGATACCCCGGTGGCTGCTGGACCCAGACTTCTGGGCCGCCCACCTGCTTGTCACCACCGCCACCGACGACGGCACCAGCAGTAGTGACGGAAAGAGACATCAGTCCGATCCGCGAAGGGAGCTGGTCGCCTGCGCGCTCGGATTCTTGTTCTCCTACACGGCCCTCGTCGCGTACGAGAGCGACTTCCGCATAGCCGTTGAAAAGGGCCTCATGCCGCCGCAAGTGAGCTGGGACCGGTGGAGGGCATTATCGGCGCAAATCGTGCAGAATCACTGTTATGCGTCCGTTAACCCGCGCTACTGGTACGGCGAGCTCCGACTGAGCCGCTTGAACAAGATCTATCGGGTCCGCTTGGGGTATTTGCTCCGGGGTTACTCCAAGGTTGCTTCCCATGCGGTTTATGAGGACCTGCTGCGGGACAACTTTGCGGCGCTGGCTGCGGTTCTTGGTTATGTTGTCATTGTTCTCACAGCGATGCAAGTTGGGCTGGCCACTGATCAGCTCGTGGGCGACAAGTTGTTCCAGAGCGTGAGCTACGGCTTCACCGTCTTCTCTATACTGGCTCCTCTCATTGCTTGCTTCGGCATCGTTGCCTTCTTGGTGGTCATGTTTGTGAGCAGTTGGATGGTGACCAAGGTTTATGAGAAAAAGAGGTTCCAGGAGATGGGAGTCGAGCCCTTTTGGAGAGACCGGGCAGGCAGACGATATGTGCAGGTAGCAACCAAACAAGATATGTCTGAGTAGACGAAAAACTAAAAGGACAAGAAATGACATTAACAGGAGGTAGGCATTAAGGAATAATGAATGCCCTTTCAAGCGGTCAGCAGTGACGTCTCTTATTGGATAAGCTCGCCTGCATTGTCTCTGGAGAATGAATAGGAGCCAACCTAAGGACTGAAGTGGTAAAGAAGCCGTCCACTGGTGGTGACGGGACCCTAAACATAGGTAACAGCCGTTGGGGCTACGTACTTCAAGGCACCGCCCTGTAACGCCCCGCGTGCTCAAACAAACCCGCTAGTGGACCCTGATCGGCTGTGCCACAGTGCAGTACCTAGGTACCTACCTAATTCAACGTCACCGGGAAGCTCTCACAAGCTAAACCCATTCATCAAACATCGCGCGTTGGACTCGCAGCCTCAACATCACAAATATCCCTCGCCTTCTAACAGCCTCTCTCCCTACCGCACCTCACAATGTCAGCTGAACCCCCAAGGCTTGAACGGCACTGCCTCGTCACTGTCGGCGCAACCGCCCGCTTTACCCAACTCCTCAGCGAAGTCGTCTCGCCTACCTTCCTCGACTTCCTTGTTGGCGACCACTACACCCACCTGACCCTCCAATGCGGCAAAGACTACGAGCATTTTTCTCGAAATACTCTCCCAATATTGGTTTCTCGCTGGCCAACACTTGAGATCACTGCCTTCGACTTCGTCGACGATCTCACCGTCGAAATGACAAAGTGCCAAGCCGCTGCTGGCCGTGAGAGAGGCGTTGTGATCTGCCATGCAGGTAATGTCATGAGAATTGGGAGCCAATGGAATAATATCAAGCTTATGGAAGACATAAGGCACCGGAACCATCCTCGACGGCATGCGCGTCAACGTCCCCCTCGTCGTCGTTCCGAACCCGACCCTCAAGGATAACCACCAAGTCGAGCTGGCCGAGGAGATCCAGCGCCAGGGTTACGGGATCTGGGGCCGTCTCGGCGACATCTCATACGCATTGGAGCAGCTTGTTCTGCAGCTTGATAAGACCAAGGTGCAATTCAAGCCTCACTCCGTGAAGGAAGACGTCGAGCCTCTCAACGTCGACTTGTGGCAGGTCACCAGTGCTATGCTGGGACGCTACGCTGTAGAGACACCCCAGCCTGCAAATAAAACGGGTGCGGGCAATGGGGGCTCGGGGGAGGTCCAGCGTGAGGAGGTGGCTCAGATGACGATGGGCTAGATTCCCATGCAGTGGACACCTTCCCGATATCACTTCGGCATGAATTGATGAATCACGAGCTAAAAAAGGGGAAGATGGTTGGCATGGACAGTATGATCTTTTAGAAACGGAGATACCCCATTTTAACAGGCGTTGGTTGGTGTAACGTCATTTCGCTTTTCATTCAGTCATCATGATTCTACTAGACTATAGTCTACAGAGAAACAGGAAACTATTGAAGTCCAGACACAGCCCAGACCTTGATGGCAGCGTCAACTCCCACACTTGCCACCTTGGAGCCGTCTCCAACCCAGGCAACGCCGTTGACGCCGTCTTTGTGTGCGTTGAGAGCCTTCACACGGCTACCAGGCTTCGCCAAGCTCCACACATACACGTTCGTGTCCAAAGCTCCAGATACCGCGTGGGTTGCGGCATCATTCCAGCTGATGCAAGTAACCCTCGCGGTATGCGCCGACCATCTATCAGTGGCGACCTCCCAGTCACCTGACTTATACGCCACAATCTTGCCGATCTGGTTCCCGACAGCAAGATATTGGCCATCCTTGGAAAAGGAAAGGCAGGAGATCTGAGAGGTAGACTTGTCGAGCGACTTGACCTCGGAGAGCTTTCCAGAGCCGTCCGCGCTGTAAATCTTAACCGAGTTGCCGGAACCAACGGCTACAGTTGAGCCGAATGCGCCAACGGCGAGAGGAGCATATCCGAGACGGTTCTCCGCCACAAGCTTGTTCTTCTCGTAGACGTCCACTCCCTCGGTAGTCGCCACATACAGCTTTCCGTTTGTAGCTGCAACGCCCTTGGGTTGCGCAGACAGCTTGACAGAATCGCCAACAAAGGTGTTGGCAGACTCATCGACAGTCCGGAGAGTGTCATCCCAGCCAACACTGAAGGTCTGTCCAGCTTCAGCGCTAAACTGAGTGACCTGGTTCGAGTGCGCCTGGCCGTCAACAACACTTCCAACACCGGATTCAACATCCCATTGGCAGACACGGCCGTCAAAGCTCCCGGTCCACAGAGTCTTGCCCTTGCCATCAGATGAAGTGCCGAGAGCTGTAATGTTCTTGTTGTGCCCCTGCACGATTCTGCTAGGCTTGTCGCTTCCCTCGTTCAGGTAAATAAGGTCACCGTCGAGGTTCAAGCTGATGATCAAGCCATCGCTTCTTCCGTGTGGCCACACGACACCGACTTGCTGATCGCCAATGCTAACGCCGTCGCCGAACTTCCACGTCTGCGTCGCTTTGCCCGACTCGACATCCCATACTCTAACTGTCTGATCCGCGCTGGCGGTGACGAACTTGGTGCCGTCCTCGGCCCAAGAGACGGCAAAAATACTGCCAGTGTGTTCTCCCTCGCCGATCTGCTTTGTTGGTTCGCCTGTCTTGCCATCATACAGCTGGATACGCTTGTCGGCGCCGACCGTCACGAGTAGGCTGCCGTCAGGAGAGAAGGCGGTTCCGAAGACGAAGCCACGGTGAATAGACGCGTGCTTAGAGTTGAACTTGAAAGGGGCTCCGTGCAAGAAGCAGATGGAACTGTCGTCCGAGACGGTTGCTGCGCGCAGCGGACGTTGTTGCCTTACGGCGACGGAGTTGACAACCTTTGAGTGACCGCTGATTTCGCCCACCGAGTTGCCACTGTCTGCCGTGATGCAGTGTCCGAACCGCTCCTTGCCGTCTCCGACTGCGATGATGCGCTGAGAATCGCCGTCCCATCCGATGTCGTTGATGCGGCCCGAGATGATGTGGTACTCGCCTGGCGATGTGTCAGCGGGTTAAGCTGGGCAAGCTGGAGATCATGGTGTACCCTTCGTGTTTTCGGCCTCGACTGCGTCCCAGACTCTTACGGAACCCGACACATCGCCACTGGCAACGTAGAAGCCGCTTGGAGAGAAGCGAGCGACGCTGGTTTGGGCCGTGTGGCCGGTGTATTGTTTGCTCACGGAGGGGTTGTCGATTGATCTGAGGAAGATAGATTTGCCGGCCTGTGTATGGACTGCTGTTAGCTAAAAATCGGCATTGGATCTACTCAGCCCGAGTCAACTGACCGCGTACGCGATACGCTCTCCCTTCTTGTCGGTCGAAAGCTGGGTTGGTTGGCCGCGCTGCGTGGCGGGCGAAGCAGCTAGGATCTTTTCAATGTTGACAGACATGATGGAACCAGGTGTCCAGAAAGCCTGCGTGAAATTTTGCGACGAAGATCAAGACACAATGAGAGAGCAACGAATGATTCCAAAATGTCGGGGAGGTGAAATGGGTCAAGTGTCAGCTTCCCCAGGCAACGCAATGGCGGTCGACAATGTGGGAACCTGGACCTGGGACCTGGCGATCCTGGTCCGTATGGAGGGGCAGTGCTTCTTGCGTTCCATTTGGTGCTAGTGCGGGGCAGAATGACGTTCGTTGGATCCAACAGAGGCAGCTGCGGTTCCAACCCCCTTCACCATCGAAGTTTCCAAGGTGCAGAAGCCATAGCTACCTAGGAAAAAGTTCTAGACCTGGGAACTCTACCAGCAACTTGTCGACGCGAAATGAATGCGTCGCAGTGCATGCGACAATCACTCAGCCCGGGATCGCCTACAGGAAGTCGCTTTAGGTCAGTCGTGCAAGCTAAGATGTATCCACCGTCTGGACTATAAGAGTTGACTTTGGGACACGGAGAATCATCGGTGAACGGGTAGTCCGCCTACACAACGTCCTCATTGGCGCAATCGGTTTAGCGCGTCCGACTTTTACGGCTTGCACAAGGTCATTGAAATCGGAAGGTTGTGGGTTCGAGTCCCACATGAGGAGTGGTCATTTTTGGATTTCGTGGCGATGATTCTTCGTTCCATTGGTTGTTTTTTTAATTCTTTTTTTATTTATTTAGGTTTTGAAATGGAGTGAAGAAACTAAGGCCCTCTCCCTCACAGATGTTCTTCTGTAAGTAATTGAACTGCGTTTTCTGAATAGTCTTCTCCCTCTGTAAACGCTTTAAGCAAGTAAGTCACACAGAATATTAATGTGACGATGTGAATTCCGATGAGTACCTCTGCGTCCCTGGACGCAGAGGTGGCAGCACTGAGAACACGCGCGCAAGTGAAGAAGAAGCTCAAACAATTCGCCAGGTATGGTTTCAAAGGAAGGCGAAGCTCGCATTAAGGATTGTCAGGAGGAGCTCCTATCTCCAAGGCCTGAAAGAGGGCCACTTCACCGGCCCCTTCAGTGCTCTCCCAGTTATCTATTTGACTCTTTCTCTCCCCAATCCACGACCTTCTTCTGCGCCCTCAGTGATAGCCTCATACTTGAGTCAACTTAACGAGGATCGGATAGCTTACTAGCATTCAGGAGACGTTCTTACTTAGAGCCGATTCTTCTGAGAACCTTATATGTGACGTAACCCTACCGGCCGAAGCCAGAGCTCGTTGCCACTACAGAGAGCGAGAGAGCGAACAAATGTTTCTTAGACCGCACACGAGAAGGGAGTCAGAAAATTCAAGTGAAAGGAAACTTGGCAATACAGACGGACTAAAGGGCCGCAAAAGATTCTACAACTCCGAAGAGCCATTTCATTCTCGTAAAATATGATTTACTACAAAGTACACACCGACAAAAGTCGAGGCCATCTATCGCGAAAGCCATGTAAGAATCTCCTAGAAATAACAACTCAGGGTCGTACCAGACCAAACGCCTTTTCTATCACAGCCACCGCCAGGTGAAGCTTTACCCGCACCAAAAGAACCCTGTGAAATCATGTAGCTGACCCAACCGTCTATTTCTTCTTGCCCTTGGTTTTGCTCTTCGCATTGGTTGTGGATTTCGTGGAGGCGACGCTCGACGCTCTTGAGGGTGCTGCAGACGTGTTCTTGCTGCCCGCTTCTGACTTGACATTGTCCAAAGCCTTATTCTGAACTTCTTGTTAGCCATATTCACGTACCAGCTTTCCTTCTGATTCTTACATTGACGCCGTTCTTGGCCTTCTTCTTAGCGGGAGCCATGCCGAGAATGCTGTCCTCATCGTTCTCCTCGTCATCGGCGGCCTCTCTCTTAACCTTGCCGTTGACGCCGTTCGCGCCCTTAGTAGGATGGACATCCTCGAACTCCTTGACGATTGTAGTCAAAAGCGTTGTGCAACGACGGCTGAGCTCCACGGGCGTCCTGCTGAGGAAGAACCAGTCGAACCGGAACAGAGGGCTCACAGAGATCTCGTCACGCATCTTCTCGTACAGGCCAGGGGAGTCGATGCCGAACTTATCGAGAAGCACCAACAGGAATCTGTCCTCCTCCTCCGTGTATACCTTCTTGTTGGTAGTTGAGACAGAGTAATTGATCTTCAGTTGCTGCAAGGGGACGCGGTACTGGGACATCTTCTTGCGAAGCAGCTTCCGTTGGTGCTCGATCTTGCGCATGCGCTCTTCGCCGTCTTCGATAACCTTGATGTACTTATTGTAGTCGGCGATTTCCGTGTAACGCTGCCAGAAGACCTTGGCATACTGCTTGACCTCGGCGGCCGTCTTGTCGTTAATGTCCTCAGCAATGCTCTCGTAATCGTTGCGACCGTAGCGACCAGAGGCATTAATGAACTGCTGGAAGTCACGACGGTTCCACTCGCCGAAGCCTTGTTGCGACAGTCGTTGCTTCTCCTCCAGCTCCTCTTCGTTGAGCGGCGTGGCATCATCGATTTCCTGTTGATCCAAAGCACGCTCTTGCTCTCTTTCCTCCAGCTTGTCATCCTCGCCATCGGGGAGAGGGACCTTGTAGCCAATCTCTTTGCGATAATACGCCGTCTCACGGTCCTGGAGCTCTCGGAGACGAACTGGGTAGAACTGGTAGTCGTGTACGGGAACTTGCTTCGGCGCTCTGGGCGCCTTGGGCTTGTTGTCCTTCTCCTTGGGAGGGTACATTGTCTGCCGGAAATACTTGTCCATGGAGTAGGACTGCTCCTTTCTCTCACGCTTGGCCGGGTTGATCCAGTTCATACCGATGTCCTTCTTGTTGGTCTTGAAGTCCTCGCCATTCCAAGTGTAAGCAGATTCGGAAGTGAAATTCTGCAGGTCGTCAATGCCGAGCTTCTCGTACTTGGCATTCAGCTCCTTGGTTCTCGTCTCACCCGAGGCGAGAATCTCATCAATATCGTCCTCTTCGACATCGGCACCCTTGGAGGCTAGTGAACCGGTGGCGCCCTTGCTCTGGAACACCTTCTCGGCACCGTGTTGGATCATGGACAACAATTCGTCCTTGTTTGCAGCCGCCTTCGCAGCCGTCTGAGCCCGACCTTGCTGGATAACAAGCTGGTCCAGACGGAGCTTTTGGGCTGCTCTCTCCAAGACCTTCTCTTCGATCGCGTTATCCGTAACGAATCGATACACAACAACTTGCTTGGTTTGGCCGATACGATGAGCACGATCCATAGCCTGCAGGTCAGCTTGAGGGTTCCAATCGCTGTCGTAGAGGACAACGATATCAGCAGTGGTAAGATTGATGCCCAGACCTCCGGCTCTTGTGGTGAGCAGGAAGATGAACTTCTCAGAACCCGGCTTGTTATACTCGTCGATGGCAGCAATACGGTCCTCGTGTGCCGTTCCACCATCAATACGGCAGTACTTGTACTGCCTGAAGACGCAGTAATCCTCAAGGATGTCCAAGAGACGACTCATCTGAGAAAAGATGAGAACTCTGCTGCCTTGCTTCTGCATCCTGTTCAAAAGCTTGTCAAGAACAACCATCTTGCCGGCATTGTAAACGAGATGCTCATCAGTGGTGTAGGGCGGACCGGGCTCAGCTCCTTCGAACAGGTAAGGGTGGTTGCAGCACTTTCGCAGCTGCATCACAATGTTCAGAAGTCTTGTCTTGGACTCGCGCTTTCCGTTGGCACCGTTGACGGCGTCAATGTCCTTCTCCAGGATCTTTTGATACCACTTGATCTGCATCTCAGACATACCCAGGTAAACGTTGACCTCCTTCTTGGGCAGAAGACTCTTCTCCACGTCACTCTTGACTCTTCGAAGCAAGAACGGTCTCAGCACGCGGTGAAGCTGCTGAACGACCGTGTCCTGGTCACGATCCTGGCCAGAGAACCATTGATCGAAAGCTTCAGAGTCACCAAAGACGTCGGGAAGCAAGAAGTTGAGCAGAGCCCACAGCTCATGCAGGTTATTCTGGAGAGGTGTGCCGGTGATGAGAAGTCTGTTTCGGGAGTTGAACAGACGGATAACCTGTGCCAACGACGATTCCTCGTTCTTGATACGGTGCGCCTCGTCGATGATGATGTATTCCCAAGCAAACTTCCTGAGGTGTGCCTTCTCTCGCAGAACCATTTCATAACTCGTGATGCAGACATCAAAGTCCTCTGAGACCAATCGATCATTGATGAGGTTGTGGCGCTCCTCCTTGGCACCCTGAAGCACAAGGACGTTGACTTCGGGCGTCCACTTCTCAAATTCTCTCTTCCAGTTGTCCAATGTCGACTTGGGAACAATAACGATGTGAGGTCCAGTGATGTCCATGATGTGCCGCAGGTAGCCCAAGAAGGAAATCGTCTGCAATGTCTTGCCGAGACCCATTTCGTCAGCAAGAATGCCCGAGATACCGTTCTCGTGGAGAGAGATCAGCCAGTTGAGACCAGCGACCTGGTAGTCTCTCATGGTTCCCTGAATGAAGGCGGGTGACTCGCGGAAAACGGTCTCGGCAGAGCCTCCGTGCTTCTCATCGCGAAGAAGCTCGGCATCTTCCTCGGCTTCGGTCCGACGGCGTCTCTCGTTGTTCGCGCCTCCTTGACGCGCCCCGCCCTTCTTGCTTTTTGAAGCTTCCGCATTCTGTCGATCAATCTCGGTCATGATTTCACGGATCTTAGGATTGGGGTTTGTTTCGATGAAGTGGCGGAAAAGGTCTGTCAGGCCCAGCAGGTATCGGAATCGTCGAATACTGTCCTCTTCCTGTTCAAAAGCATCAATTAGCGTCCGCCAACCGAAGGTCTTCCATCGAACGAAAGAATTATGTGAGCTTGCAAGTACCTTGGATTCGCCCAGTCTATCGTGCTTTTTGCCGAAGATGCTGCGACGTAGCTGATTGGCTTCCGAACGTCTTTTGCGACCATCTCCAACGGGCTCGCCAGCAACGCTACTAGCTGTGGTATTCGGATTGGTGTCTGAGTCGGTGTAGTCGGGAGTCTCGTCAACCTCCTATATGCACGTCAGCTGCAAGGCTTCGTTTGTAGGGGGCTGTCGCGGGGCCTGACACCGCAACAACGGTAGGACATGAAACATGAGAACGTACCATCTCTTCGGCATGATTGACTTCTGGGGCGTCGGACATTGACGCGTCGGTGTCGACCACGGCAGCTCTTGAGCGAGAGGGCGCCATCTTGATGGCCGTAAATCACTTTACGCGACTTACACGCGTTTCGCAAGATTTCACGACGCGCACCAGGAAGACTGATTGAGTATAGATCTTGAAGCTGTCGCCGAGCTGGAATGTAGGAAGGTGCGTCTGAGCTGGAGGTCGAGTGCCTGCGCTGCGGTGCAGAAGTTGAATGTCTGTAGATGTTTTTCAGAAGTCGTAGAGAAAGGTGGGATCCCTCCGCCGGTAGAGACAAGTCTAATCAGGATTAGCGCGTTTGCGCCGTGTCAATCAGTCCGCCATGTGCAGCACTGCAAGTGCCCACAAGTTCACCGTGCAGGTACCTAGATCGGGAAAACCTACCTCCGACCCGCTGGAATGGAAGCTCCACTCCAGCTGCGGGCAGTCGCCCAACGTAACAGTCAGCAAACTGGAAATGCAGCAGTGAAGGTCCACTTTGGGTCAGTGATTGGGTCATCTGGCAGAGCTAGTGCGCAATGACCACCGACGGATAACGTCAAAGCCACTGAGGCAATTGGGCAGCCAGGTACAAACCGCAGGTGCTGCTGGCTGTCGGCTAGTGCCGCTTCCAGTGTCATGTGCTCTCTGCGGCGTAATTGCTGAGGTAGAGCTGACCTGGACTTCATCCATCGCCAAACACCTGCATTGATCATCGTGGCCTTTTTTGCTATTCGGAATCAACACGCTTTCGTTATAGAAACACGCTACCTTCTTTTCCCGTAGTTAAAGAAGCGGCCTGTAACCTCGTCTGCTCCGTCGCACTCGAGGCAGTAACCGCACCCTTATCGCCGCCAGCGCCAGACACTGGGGACCCCGTTTGGACCCCACCCGCGGCATCAAGATTTGTTTACCCTGACAACATCAACGACATACTTCACCGCTTGGTGCGGGACTCCCTCTTCTTATCCTTTTACTTCTTGCTGACGTCCCTCAGTCAGTTTATACCTAGCCAAAGAAAACATGGACTCGATGCGAAGCCTCAACACCTCCCTGCCTGGCGCCTCAGCAGGGAAGCAGGCTGCGCAAAATGACTCTCCCGAGCAACTCCTTGACGCCTTCAAAAACGCTGCTCTGTCGGTGACGAAACTCTACAAGGCCTCCGCTGCTGCCCAATCGAAGGCCCGTATGGACGGGTACCAGGACTGCCTCGACGATTTGCTGGCATTTCTCGACAAGGAACGAATCGGCTTGGGCAATGGCGACAGTCGGAGGATCCGAAGTTGGGCAACCGAGCGATTGGAAGGCAGGGAGAACTCCCAAAACGCCGAAAGCGACGACGAAGCGGACAAGCCAGAGACCACATCTTCCCCTGATCTCAACCACTCGAACAGCGAGACGCAACTGCAGGAGGAGACACAAATGAGGACCGACTCTACGTCTCCCGCTGCCCCTCAACCCCCCCAGGAAGAGCCGGAGATCATGCCGATCACGGTGCCGTCGCAGGACACTTTCACATTCCAATCCGCACATGCCTGGCCTCCTCAGCCTCCGCAGCAAGACGCGTACCTCAACCTTGCAAACCTCGACCTGTCTGATTCTTCTCGAACACACGACGGTGCAAACGCAAACCCCGCTTCCCGCACATCACGGCCACGCCACTCTGCAAACATCCCTCGCTCTACATCAAGGCAGGGCAACAATCTCGGCCGCGGCGCTGGTTCGAAGCGTAAAATCAACTTTGCCGAAATCTTCGACCTGAGCAGCTTGGACAAGAATATGTTTGGCGGTGGACCGAAGCGCTCTCGTCACACATGATCGGGCGCGGACACGTCTGATAGACCTTTTTTTCTCTTCTTCAGCGACAGACATAGACGTGTCACGAGGCATGTTCAGCGTTTGCCTGCTACGATTCTCGGACAACATTTGACGGATTGAGCGAGCATCGACACACACTACTAGGGGGAAAGGGAATCAGGCATAGAGTGCGTCACGAAGCGGCGTTAGTTGGTTTTATGAAGGTGCATGGGCGGTGTTAGGTTTGGGACGGTTTTTGCGATGATGCCAATAGGGACGGCTAGCTAGTCCACGTCCATAGCTACATTATATCACATACCTCCTCTGTCCACAATGGCGGCTATTTCGTTAGGAATATAGCTGCCATGATGACTTGACAGAGGTAATGACAGCACAATTCTACGTCAATATCATGTTTGATCTAATTCTTTAGTACGGCCAAATCACCATGTCTGATGTTTCAGTATTTTAGATTGTCAAGCTGCATAACAAACGACGAAAACATGTTTCAACCAGTCAAAGAACGACTCGCTGCCATAATCTTCCGGCTCATCCCAACTATGACGCCGCAGGGTCTCTGTCGTCCAAACTCCTGGAAATCCCTCAACCAAAAAAGCCATTTGCGCCTCCAAGGTTCTCAATGTGAACTCCGGGACAGAGGTGCGGAGTCATCGCGTGCCCCACCCATTAGAATCTGCTGGACGGCTTTCAGTTTCTGCCAGCCGTCTAATTTCGGCGAGGAAAAAAAAAAGACAGAGCTTCTGGAAAAAAAGAAAGTTTCGCATACGTTCCAAGCCGACTTGAAAATTCCCTCGCGGCGGAATGATGAGACTATCTGGTGTGGCTCTCTAAAACGGCCATTTCTCTGTCGCTGTCTAAGATTGTCTCGGACGAGTCGTCCACCCTAGTTAATCTTAAGATGCGGCCGGCCAACGATGCGTGGGTGCCCTGCCACCCCTCCATCACCCACCTCTTCAACTGCAGGCAAACCCCCCACTCGCACGCACATCATGCGCTAGCTTTCTAAATCTCTTTTTCGGCTGCCCATCCAACAACTGGATTCTCTGGATCATCATACGGAAGGGTGGCCGAGTTGGTTATGGCGCCAGGTTAAGGTCAGCTTAACATCTGTTTCCTGGTGGGGCAACCCGCGCGAGTTCGAGTCTCGTCCCTTTCATTTTGCAGTTTTTGTTCATGAATCCGTATGTATGCGTGAACTGTTCATGCTGTTGCAGACTGTCTCCTTTTGCTGTTTTGCTCCGAAGTACTCTTTCTCGTCTGTGTAGGCGTAAGTGCGCCAATTTCCCTGGTGAGATGTGGTTCTCTAGAACATATATATGTGGTGTCATACATGATGTTTCTTGGAGGACACATGCGCTACAATTTCAACATACCGCGTGTACACACATATAAGCTTCACTCTTTGCGTACATCGCCACTTCCAGATCATGACCGTTATTGCGTTGAAACTAGTGTCAGAACTCATCATTACCCCGTTTTTGGTTTCTTAAATCTTGGAGGCTCCCTGCGGTGACGACCACGTGTGTCACCCGCAGGGAGAAGAGATATCATCCCACCAGTCTTTCTGTTTCGCGGACTGCCCTAGGTTTTACAAAACCAATCTAACCATCCACCGAAGATTTCCCAAACGCCGTACTATGCAAGCCGCGAAGAAGACGAGAAAAAGGCCCCTTTTTTGTGTGAAACCAAGTCTAGTTCTCCTGTCTGTTCTTCCGTTCCCGCTCGACCTCGTACATGAAGTCGAAGTAGCCCTTATCGAACTGGTGGACACGGACGTAACCGTCTTCTCCTCCACTTGCGTAGCCCTTGCCGGTAGGGTCTGCGGCGACAGTGTTCTGAGAAAGAGTCAATAGTTGTACCTTGCCTTCTTTCGTGACATCGACTTACCAGAGGACCGAAGTGGCCACGGACTCTACCAACCTCATCCTCGAAGATCTTGTGGTAGAATCTCGCCTCGAACTTTCCTTGTCTCGCCGAGGTACGGGTGACATCCATGGCGGCCTGACCACCACCGAGGATGACAAAGTCCTTCTTGGGAGTGATAGTTGCGCTGTTCAGAGGGGTATCGGCGACGTAAGTCTTGAGAACCTCAAGGTCCTTGGCGGTAATAAGCTGTCATGGGTCAGCAATGAGGTGTCGCCTCAGAACAATAGATCTGCACATACCTTGGAGGTCTTGTCCTTGCAGGCAGTAATGAAGTAGGTGCGGTCCTGCGACCACTGAAGATCCGTGATGGGAGTGTTAAGCTCATGCACGGGCTCGTTGTAGAGCAGGTCACCAGTCTGTAAGCCAGTCAGCGGCACATCCCTCTCAGTATCCGTATTGCAATTCCAACCTTCGCGTCGTACTGCGACACAGAACCGTCCTCGTGACCGGCAATAATGTACTTGGTGAGGTAGCTGAAGCCAGCGACGGTGGCCTTGGACTCGTCGCACACGATGGTAAGGACGCGCTCATCGCTCTGCTCGGCCTCGGGATCGGGGTTGATGTCGACGACGATGATGTTGGAGAGGTAACCCATACGCTTCTCGGTGACACCAAGCAGCTTGGTTCCGTCCTCGCTGAACTCGACGCGCTTCACGGCAGTAGGGAACTCCCAGGTCTTGAGGTTCTTGCCCGACTTGATATCCCAAAGGCGCATGGTGTTGTCGGCGGAACCGGAGGCGATCATGGTGCAGGTGGGGTCGACGTCGACGGTCCAGATGGCACCAACGTGGCCGTGGTAAGTGCCGAGACGCTCGCCATTGTGCGCGTACCAAACGCAGATCTGCTGGTCCTTGGAGACGGAGAAGATGAGGTCACCGTCATTGTTGTATCTGTATTTGCAGGAAGCGCGACGTGGTTAGCAGCTGTATATACAGCCCCTCTTTGCCGAGAGCAGTGAGGAAAAAGCCCTCCCCCTCCTCCAAATCTGATGCCGCCGCGCAACATACCTAATCTGGGTGAGCGCACGCTCGTGGCCTGCCAAAAGAATGGGCCTCATATTGACTGATTTCGGGAGTATGCGATTCTCGGTCTCGGGGCAGCTGTACGGGGGGCGTTTGTGCGGCAGGGGACGTCGGTCTTTAAAGGCTTGCGATGTCGTCGGGGATCGTGGAATTTTTGCCCTTCAACGACATTGTGGGTTTCGGTGCACTGTGGGGCACATTTTTCCCTCCCCGCGACGAATTCTGCCACCACTGGCAAGCATTCACCGCTTTCTCCTTCGCCTGAGGCACGGGCCATTTGCCCTGAAGCTTTCGGGCCCA